TGCGCAGCGGTGGGGCTGTGATTGCCGCCCCACTGCCCTCTTGTCTCGGGGCAGGGCTCTGCTCAGCAGCACACGTCTGCCTCTGGGTCGCTGACACACCGGGCATGCAGCGCCTCAGATGCAGGCTCAGCGTGTGCTGGACCTAGTGGAAGAGCTGAGGCTTTTTCAGCTCAGCTTCCCAGAGCCGTGGGTACAGCCCAGCGCCTTCGTTACATGAGGATAGGACAGGATGAGCCGCTGCAGCAGCACAGCAGCCAGCCATCCCCGGGTCACAGCCAGCGCTGGCGCTGCAGGGGAGGGAGGTGGTGGTGCTCTGCCACAGGCAGGCTCTGCAGCCCTGCCACTGCACAGACTGAAGGCAGCTACTAGACCCTTAACCAGTTCTTTTCCTTTCCCAAGTTAGCCTGGTTACCCCATGGGGTTTGTGAAACGTGACAGTAGGCGGCCACATCTTTTCCCACTCAGATTTTGGATTACACAGGATAGAACAGCAGCTTCCGATTAGCTATAAGTCACAAAAGCCCTGTACAGTGCCAGCTGCACAAACCCTTTGAGATTCTGAAAAACACCCATGAGCAAACCCCGTCCATGGGCACCTTGTAATGCCAAGGATGGGGGTACCTTCCCGGCACGGGACATCGAACTCTGGGACCAATGTACCAGAGGCAGGTAGAGCTAAGTCAAGGTACATCACCACCTAGTCATGGTGGTGATGGGGGTGGCGAGATGCTCATAGCTGACTCCATAACACTGTCCTGTTTCTCCACAGCAATTCTCATCACTGACTGAAGTGCTCTTCCGCTTCCTGACAGAGCCCAAGGAGGTAAGGCAGGCCCAGAACACCTGGTGTGTGAATGCAGCTCTCTGGTGAGAAACGTGCAGAGATAAGATTGTGTCTTTCTCTTGAACAGGTAGAAAGGTTTCTGACTCAGCTCTCTGACTTTGCCACCATGAATAAAATCAGCTTGGGCCCCCTGAAAAATATTGTCAAAAGTATTCTTCTGGTACCCAACGGTAAGTGAGACATTTGCATAGGCTGCCCCGAGGCCAAACTCTTGGGTCCGTTCCTGGTTCCTGCCTGCTGCCAGAGGGTGTCTTCAGAACCACAGTGCGCTTGGTTTGCACAGCAAGTGCAAACAGTACCTAATAAAAGGCCTAGTATTTAAGAATCAAAAATCCTCTTGTTGAAATATGGTGACTCGGGCTTTATATTCTTTATGCCCTGCCTGCAGACACATCTCACTGGCTTAAACTCAAATATCTGTGCATTAAATGCAATACAACACTGTGACAGCACTTGGTTTAACCAGTACCTGTAAATCCATTTGCCAGACCAGCCACCCTATGTTGTCACCAAGTCTCTGCAGGAACTTCCACTGGCTTATTTAGTGGTCTAAGGGAGTCACTAATAAAGTGACCCAGTACTGTAATTCGTACAAGGACAAGTGCTGTTTGAGACCCGTAAGACAGTGTAAACACCCCTCTGGAGTGAGCTGGAAACCAGTTTGGTTCTAGGCCGTGTAAAGCAGACGTCATAAATAGAGGGGAAGAGGGGCAGAGGGATTCCCCTTGAATACCCCAGACTCCAGCACTTTATGAGATTACTGTGATATTGTGGCTGCTGTTTGACATGATAATGCATCAAACACCTCCACTGCACGTCCATCCCATTGATCCCTCCTGTTATTAATAGTCCCTTGCTATTATCCTTCAGTCCTGGCTTCCCTGTAGCTCTCTTCCCAGCACTGAAGCCATGGGAAGAGTTTCCTGCATTTGGTCTAAACCCATTCTACTACTTCAAGCTGTTTCTTCTACCCAGGAGTAGCAATGAAGAATGTCCTTTCCTAAAACTGTCTTGGGGGTATTTAACATGGAATTGGGATTTTCTGGCCTAGGTGCACTCAAGTCTTGTCATTGCTATTTCTGTGCACTGGCTCCGATCCCATGTAGCTCTTCCTTAGCGCTGGGATGCCACAGCCAGTATGGGAAAGGATTCCAGCAGATAACTTTGCCTGTGTGCTACACGGCAGAAAGCCACGTGGGACTGGCAGTCTCTTTGAATTTATGAGATTCCTGCTCTTGGCTTCAGAGAACAGAATCCTTGTAAACTTCCATGTGCTGCCGGTGCCCCAGAACAAAGGAGGCAGGCGCAGCGGGGGAAAGTGTTATATGCACACGTTCACACCCATAATCCAAAACACAGCAGGTAGGTCAAATTAGTAGCCTGCCAGCCTTAACAGCTCCCCTTTAACAAGCAGAGCTTCTATAGGAGAGAAAGCAGCAGCTTCAAAACACAACCGCTGCTGCAGTTCCCATGGATACCTGCAATGAAATCTCTCCCTCTCCCAGGCATTCCCAGAGCCTGGACTTTTAAAGCACTGGGCATCTGCAAAGATACCGGCAGGCACAACTCTATTTCCTATCCTGAGGAGCTGTGGTTTGTTTCAAAACACAGGCTGAGAACAGAAGCTCCCCAGCACAGCGCCTCCATCCCAGCGTTTATGTGATTCAGTAAAGATTGGTTTGACTCAGTAAAAAGTGATTTTGCTTCTTTGCATTGTTTATTCAGGTGCCCTGAAGAGGAATTTGTCTTCGGAACAAGTCCGAGCAGATTTTATTGCTCTAGGTGGGTCACCTGACTTCCCCTAAATAAAAGATAATTAATATTTATCACATAGAGTAATCTCCTCTGCTCTCTCCCACAGGCCTCAGTGAGGAGAAAGCCACTTACTTTGCAGAACAGGTATTCATCTATTTTTGCTGGTTTCTGAGCTAACAAAACGACAGTCTTTGAGTGGGAGCTGGTAAAACCCCGCTCTGCTGCCAAGATGTGTCAGCACTTGGGGTGTTTTCTGCAAAACCAGCTCAGGGATTTGAACTGATCCTCAGATAAGTGATGAGGAGCACTTTGCCTAATGAGAATTCTAGCCATGGCCTCTACCTCATCGCTTCTGTGACTCCTGCATTCATGGGTGCCTCTCACTTGGTTGGTTTTTGGCTTTGCATGCTTTGAGCTCCAGGGTCATGCAGTTACATGAACACATGACTTCTTGTGCAGATATTGTTACAGCAAACCAGCGTTAAAACAAACCCAGTGAGTTTCATTTACAGAAGTGACAAGGCAGAGGGAAAGCCTAGTGGGACTCCGCATCTGTGAAAGCCCCCCTGACCACACGAGCTCACCCCTTTGCACACCTCCACTTCAGGCTTCTGCCTTATTTCTGACTGATGTTGAACTTACAGGTAACATAAATAGAGGCCTCTCGGGGCTGACTGTTGGGATGCCTTTTGCCTTTGCAGTGGAAGGCGAAAAGTGACAAGGCAGAGGGAAAGCCTAGTGGGACTCCGCATCTGTGAAAGCCCCCCTGACCACACGAGCTCACCCCTTTGCACACCTCCACTTCAGGCTTCTGCCTTATTTCTGACTGATGTTGAACTTACAGGTAACATAAATAGAGGCCTCTCGGGGCTGACTGTTGGGATGCCTTTTGCCTTTGCAGTGGAAGGCGAATTCCCCCCCCCTGACACGCCTGGCTGTTGGTCAGACGCTGATGATTAACCAGCTGATAGATATGGAGTGGAAGTTTGGAGGTAATAGAGCTAAACCATGAAGTGAATGGGTTGGGAAACCCACCAGCAGCTCTCAGCTAAATAACTTTTTATTCCACTGTTTAACTAACAGATTATCTCCCTTCTCTTCTTTCTGACTCACAGTGACTGCTGGGAGCAGTGAACTGGAAAAAGTGGGAAGTATCTTCTTACAGGTAAATCTCCTACATCAGAGAGTTCAGGTTGTAGTGTGCAGTTAAGGAACAAGCAATGAGCAGACTTGTGGGCAATGCTGGCTATGAGAGGGGCTGGAGGAAAGCTGCGTCTCATGGAACAAGCCTTGCAACCAGGCATCTGCTTCACCTTCTGAGTGCAGCTGCCAGCAGATAGCAGGCACGCCGCTGTTTGTTTCCCTTCTGAAGACATCCTGTGTCACAGAAGAGTAGACCACTCTGAAAAGCTGCTCAGAAAGTTCAACCTAGTAAAGGTCACACTGTCAGGGAGGGGGGAGGGAAATGTGATCATTTGGAAGAACTTCCAGAGGTCCTCCCAATGCCTAAGGAATCTGTTCCTGCAGTGACACTTCCTGAAAGGCCTGTCAAAGACATGTGTGCTTTGCAGCAGTCTGAAACTCACAGCACGCCCCTGTACTTGTGCCTTTTCATGGTGCTCAGAATACAGGGCACTCCGAATTAACACTTCTGCTTTTTCTTCCCCCAAGCTGAAGCTGGTGATTAAAAAAGGGAGTCAAATGGAAAACGTGTATATGGGTGAGTTAACAGTTCTGGAAAAGTAGCAGCTCTGGGGATTGCTTGAGGTGGGGGAGCTTTGGGTGCAGAACCCAACAGGGGTCACTGCCAGAGCAGGGCTCGAGGATGCTGCTCCCCTGGCAGTCACTCTGGAAGTATTTGGGAATGCTCACTGCATTCAAGGCATCCTGAATAAACCTACGTCTGCCATGGAGCTGCAAAAAGCAGCCAGAGCAGCAGCACAGGCTGAGAAAGTAAACAGTTCCCAAGGTTTGGTCACCATTAGGAGAATCCCAGCCTGGAACCCCACACAGCCCAGCTGTAGTGTGCAGAAACAGCTGCCGAGGGTCACAGTGTCTAATCCTGCCCAGCTTAGGCAGGTAGCACCAGAACAGCGTTTCCCATGCTGGGAGCGGAACCTGAAGTCTAAGACTCGATGCCTCTGGTTTTCTCCTGCAGAGTTAACTTTGCCCCAGTTCTACAGTTTTCTGCATGAAATGGAACGGATCAAAACCAGCCTCGAAAGCTTCAGCTGAAGCAGCACAGGCCTGGACAGACACCCATCCAGTGGGATTTCCCCTCGTGGGCCAGCAGAGCTGCCCTTTCCCAGCTGACCTAACACCCCTGTAAGAGGAGACAAGGCTGTGGAAGGAGCAGTGCTGTCACAGCCCAGAGGGACTGTCAATCCCTCAGAACCTGAAACTTTAGGAAGTATTTTGAAGCAGCTACAATCCACTCATCTCTTATTTTTTTTATATGCTGTTATGAGAACCTGTGGTCAAAATATGTGGATACTTGTATTAAAACAGCAAATAAACCCATTCCCATCCTGCTCCATTTGTATCAGAATTTGATCTTGTGGGAAAAGGACAAAGAGAAGCAGAGAATCATTTTCAGACTTGAAGAATTAAGGGAGAGAATACAAGGGAAGCAAGGAGAGCATCTAATGATGCATCAGTTAGTGCTCACTCCCAAACCTCTCACTTCTCTTGTATTGAGAAATGGGTTGATTACATCCTTCCCAATCATGCCTTGTTATGGAAAAGTACCTCACTGGTAGATTTTAAGCCTTAAACAACTGAACATCTGCCTCTGTGTTTAGGGGGGGAAGACATATCAGGGGGTGATGAAATAAATCCAGTTTGTGCTGGGTTGCAGCGAGCAGCTCTTCAGTTGCCTGTGTGATGCTGCACAGTCAGATCCAGCCTGTTTCCTGGTGGATGTAACAGGCAGACTCCATGAAGGGCCATTACCTCGACCCTTCAGTTGTCCAACTCCCACAGGAACTGGAGTGTCCCGGCCTGAGACAGGCAGTGGAAGATGTTACGTTCAGCTATGCCCAGAACATTAAATGCCCACCACCTCTCAGCAGCCTGAACTTGCTGTCATCTCCTGCCACAGCACAAAGTGGAATCAGGCTCCCTGATTCCACTCTCCCTCTCATTTCACTGCTGAGACTTCCCGAGGCACCTCCATGTCCTGACACACTCGGTGGTCACAGAGGAGGGAGTAAACTGCATCACTGGGGCAGATCCCCATAAGATGCTGTCGTGGTTTAAGCCCAGTCAGTAACTCGGAACCACGCAGCCACTCGCTCACTCCCCCCTTTCAGGACAGATGCTTTCTGTTTCCAGCCTACACCTGAAGTGATGCCCTGTCCTTGCAGCATCCCGCAGGTCTGCTGTGGGACAAGGAGCAAGGCAGCCCCCCGGGCCCACATCTGCTTCCAGTTAAAGCCACGCACAGACAGTTTTGGTGAGAAAGGCGTCACAAAGTCCTCCCTGTGACTCAGCTCTACCCACAGGTTCTCAGCTTGCGGAAACCAGCAGTTTATGTAGCCCTGTGTGAGTGCCCAGCCCTGGCAATGGGTACAGCCTGAACCCTGTGTTGGGAAAACAGCTCGGGGAATCCTGCTGCCAAACCCGGGACAGGAGCCGCGTGGTTATTCTCCCACGTATCAGGCCATTCAGAAGCATCTCGAGCTTTGGCACATGATTACAGTCAAAATTAAACACATAAGCCCCAAAATCCTCAGAAATAGTGCCCTGCAAAATATTCCGTCTCCTTTTGGGTGGCAGGGAAAGCTATTTCAGGGAGGAAGAAAGGGTTTCTCAGAACAAAAGGACTATTTTTGCTTTACGTTTACTGCTGCCTGTTCCTGCTGCCATTTTATCTCCTCACCCACCCAGTGCCAGGGTGGCACCACTCAACCCTGTCCGGTTACAGCATGAGGTGAGCACGGCAGTACTGGAGAAGCTGCCAGGCTCAGTTGTGGGTCAGGAATCCATCCCCCCGCGTTCCTCCCCCTGCCGGGTGGGATTAAGCTGCTGGCTCAGGGCTGGTGCACGCTGCAGCCCGCAGACCCCAAGAGCAGGGGTCACCTCCATGCAGCTCCACAACCCCCACGGGCATCTCTGGCGTGACCTTCACGCTGCCACCAGCCGTCCCCAGTACCCCGGGAGCTCCCTCTCATCCCACACGCTTGGCTGTGCATGAGCCGAGCTGGCAGCCCC